ATTGGAAGTGGTGTATTAAAGTCTCCTACTATGACTGTGGCGTCATCTATTTATCTTTTCAGTTCTGTTAGAGTCTGGTTTAGTGTTTTGGGACTCTTTCATTGGGTGCATAGATATTTCCTATTGTTAATGTCCTCTTGTTCAATCAATCCTTTAATCATTATATAATTTCCTTCCTTGTGTTGTATGGTGGTTTTTTTATTATGGGCAGTTTTATCAGAAATTAATATTGCCACTCATGTTCTTTTATGGTTGTCATTAGCTTGATATGTCTTTTTCCAGCCTTTGGTTTTCAGTCTATTTTTGTGTTTGTCTCTAAGGTATGTCTCTCATAGACAGCATATTGTTGGATTATGTTTTCTTATCCATTCTGCAACTCTTTGTCTCTTGAGTGGTGCATTTAATCCACTGATACTCACTAATTATCAACAAGTATGAATTGGTTGCTGTCGTTTTGTTATGTGCTTTTTCGTGGTGTTGCTGATTTCTTTGTTATTGTTGTTGTTATCTGCCGTCGAGTCAGACTTGACTCATAGCGACCCATCTGTAGGTTTCCAAGGTGGTATCACTACAGAAGTAGATGGCCCAACCTTCCTTCCAAGGAGTGACTGGTGGGTTTGAATTGCCAGCCTTCTGGTTAGCTGTCAAGTGCCTTAACTTTCTGTGCTGAGCTCGTATTGTTTATGAATCATGTTGGCACTTCCTTAGTTACTGTTGTTTTAGTATTTGCTAAATATTTGTATTTGTCTACTTTTTTATTTTAAGGTGAAACTTTAACATTTTTCTTTGAGGTTACCCTGCAATTTATAATTTCCTTCTCAAGTTTAGAACAGTCCGTTCTATCTTGCAGTTGTCTTGGCTTCCCTACCATTTCAAAGTTCTGTAACTACACAACTTTTTCCCTCTTTTTGGTCTGTTGTTGTCCTCATTTGTCAATTGATGTCTCTGGTTCCCTGTTTATAATCTTGTAGGCTTATTTACTTTGGACGGGAGCTCTGGTGGTGTAGTGCCTGAGGCATTTGACTGCTAACCC